GCCACGTTCCTTGTTCAGTACGATCGTAGTATGCAGGACTCACGACGATGCCCAGGTCCGATGAGGTGTCGGTGTCCGATGAGGTGTTAGAGGAGAGAGGCGTTGCGAGTGTTGTAGATTTTTTTGGAGCGTCGGGGCCGGGGCTGGTGAGGTGGGCGTGGGCGGCGGTGTCGCTAGTGGTGTCGGGAGGGGCGTGTTTAGATTCCTCGGGGCTCATCGAGACTGACGGCGCAGATACCGATACCGATACTGAGGAACAGAACGACGTATGGGAGGGCTTTTCGCTGATTGTGTCAAGCTCCGTCTGGAATCCGAGGCGGACGAGGGGTGTCCCGGTTGACGTGTGGGAGAGCAGGGCTGCTGAGCCTGTGCTTTGGTCGGGAGTGAGGTTTAGGGGGACAGCGTCCGACCCGGCGTTGGTATTGGCACTGACAGAGTTGGGTTTGGAATGGGGGTCCGTGTTCCCAGCCTTCGCATTTGCAGCTTTCGGGTTCGGGTTCGCATTCGCATTCGCGCCTCTGCCACCGCTCCCTCTCCCTGCACCACCGCTCCCCCCCGTCCCGCCGCTCTCTGTCCCTTCATCAACATCAACGTCATCCGTCCTCGTGAAAAAGCTCCTCAACCTCGGCCTTGCTCGTGCAATGGCGCGAGGGCCAGAGATCGCTGGACGGGCGAGTTCGAAGGAGCGTAGTTGGCGAAGATCACCGAAGAGGTAGATCATCATGCAAATCTGTTGGAAAAAGGTGAGCTATTTGGTAGGAACTCAAGGAAGGGGGCGGGGTCGGCGGATGAGCGTGCATATATGCGCATAATATATATATATAGAAAAAAATAGCGTCTATCTGACGATTGATGTGGAAACAAAAGCCTGCCACACCAAACCTCACGAACCACCTCAGGAAAGAACCGCGACTTACCCCATGCAAACTACTCAACACCACGCCGCCGCCCATCCAACACCCCAAAAAGCCAATGAGGCGCCACCAGCGACTGGGAGTCATGAAGAGTGCGAGGAGGGTGGGGAGAACACCCGTTACAAGGGTGAGGAGGGAGCCGAGTATTATCCCGCACCTGTAGAAGAGGAGGTGTTGGTAAGTTGAAATAGAAAGTGAAGGGGGGGGGGATGGGAAATTGAAGCGGAGTGTGGTAGAACATGCTGAGGAAAGTTTATGGGGGTCAAAAAACGGAAGGGAAGGAAAGTGAACGGTCAACGGATCGTGAAGAAACAATTTGAAGGATGAAACAAATTGAGGAAATCATGAACCTCAGGCGAGTATAGCCAAAAATGCGCAAGCACGGACCATGAAATAAGATCAGGGTGGAATGAACAAGACATCAGGAGAGATCGCAGCGAAAGGGCAAGGCAGCGAATGCAGAAAAACACGCGAAAATAAGGAATAAAAACTCACCAGGCTCTTCTAGACCCAACATTATGACAGGCACTGACAGCAAACCTCTCCAAGCTCTCCTTCAGGACGGAGCGCGCGTACGCGGCAATGTGGGCTAGTTCTTTGGGATGAGGGTGAGGATGCGGGCCGAAGGTGGGTCCCTGTGATGCGGTTTTAATTTCAATGGCAATTCCTATTCCATGCGCTCCATTGGCGTAGACGCCATCAGGGATGACCAACGTATATGGACCTCTACCGGACGCGCTGTCGAAGGTGAAAAAGGTCTTCTTAGCGCGGGTGAAGAAGAGGGCGAGGGAGGGAGATGGGGGAATGTAGTTTAGGTGTGGTGAGGAGGGGGAAAGCGGGGGAAGAGGGCTTTGGCCTGTCGAGGCGATCTTGAGGGGGTTTTTGGTGTTGGAGGCGAGGCTGATGGATGAGGTGGGCTTTGAGAGTGACGGGGACGGTGGTTTGCCATTGGAGGGTTGGGATGGAGTGTTTGATGGGGGAGAGGGGGAGACGAGGGATGTGGAGGAGAGGGATGCGGGGAAAGGGTGGGCGTAGCTGTATCCGTATTCTGCGAGCCAGGCTGCGTAGCGCGCTTCGTATTCTTTGAGCCAGAGAATAAAGTATCTGGTTTTGGGAGTGGGTGAAAAAAGAACAGAGGAAGTAGAAAGAAAGAACGCACAAATACTGTGGATTGCCTTCAACGAAAACGAGCCATTCTTCAAAGTCTTTAAGTGTGAGCGGGGGGAGGTGCCGTTTATTCAGGACGTCATCGAGGCTGACTTTGATGAGTGGGGTCACTGGAGTGAGGTTAGATGGGGAGATTGGGGCAAGAGACGGAGAGTAACCTTTACAGCTCCTGACACTACTGGCAGCAGGAGGTGGATTGCAGAGACGGATTGGGAAAGTGAGAAGTGCATGCAAACTGAGGGAGAGGGAAGGAGTGCGTGTTGCAGACATTAGGATTGAGGAGGATGGAAGATGATGGGGAAAGAAAAAGAAAAGAAAAGATAACAGTGACGTTTCGGCTTTCTTGTATTCTTAGATGATAGGTCGTCGCTTATTTCATTTAGAGAAACTGGGCGTAAATAAACGAAGATTAACGGAAAATTAGCGGAAAATTAACGCGGTGAAAGAGAAAACAAAATCAGTCTGGTACTAAACTCCCAAGACTCTGGTACTTAACTCTTAAGTCACACTCTAGATCATCTCGATCGATGTCTATCCTCTGGTGATCACTGTGAATATCACCGTACTATCTCCGCGACAGCACCGCCACCGCCATGTCTATTAAGCGCTCCCTTCTTATTATAACCCGTCACCACCCTGGCTGTGCATGTCAGCTCGCTCTATGTCTCCGTTCAAATCTACTCTCTACGTACACCTTCATCCAAGTTCATCGTCTACGCCTACCTCTGATCTTTCTTCTTGCACTATTCTTGCACTGGTCGGATGCTTCGCCATTACCTCATCTCCGCCCTCTGCTTTTTGAGTTGCTTCATGCCCATAATGGTAACCATCATACTCATATCACTCATCCGCCTCATATCTTGCTTGCTACCTATTACATCTCTTCGAGACGACCGTCACTCTCTTCAAGTATCACATCGTCACTCATCAAATATCACATCTCATCATTTGTCGTTGGCTGGTTCTGTAACTACATTTAACGCGCGCCGTACACGATACAAGTAGTCTCGACGCTGCACATCCACAGTCTCCCTAATCAAAATCGTACCCACATCGAGTTCGAAGCTGCACGCTACGTATGGTCCAAAAAATTCCATGCTTCGCCGCGGACTCGAACTTGAAACAAGGAGTGTTCAAATTCTCTTCTGCTTCCTCTGTGCTCTTCTATCCGATCTTGTTCTCTTACGTCAGACAGCTTTGGGTTGTTCTTTCCTCATCTCACGTATCTCCACCTCCCGCTTTTCCTTCTTCAGGCCAGGCCGAGGAGCGAGGACTTCGTCTCGGTGGAGTGCGGTCGGAGCCATCCAGGTTAAGTTCAAGACTGTCCTCGTCACTACTGACGTCTGCAGCTTCATCGGGGCTTTCCGGTGTGTCGCGATGGTTATCTATCGATGTCGTTCTTATCGCTCCGTGTTTGTGCCCGCCGACGAACGGACGATAACCAGGTGACCCCACTTCTGGCTTATAACATGCCTGCAAGCCATGTACGCTGCATCGTGGCCGACGCATTGATCTCAAAAATCTCATCAACTTCACTCTTCTTACCTTCACATATCCAGGAGAGTATACGCAAATACCTTTCCAACGCGCCATGAGAACCGGCCGCCAGAGGGTACCGCAACTGTAATTAACACCGGGAAGAAGAGAGGTTCTGCCCTAGACCTATAACAATAGTGATACATGGGGGCGACTGTTGTGGTAATTGTTTCCTGGGCTGAAGAACTAGAGTTTATCGCCCTTGTCGCAAGCAATCCAGGGGTTTTTACGCTCGACCAAAGCAAGATCTACTGCCCTCTGGAGATTAGAACATTGAATGATCATAACGTGAGATAGTGCTTTCCACATGCACAGTGTAGCATCATTGATGCACTTGAATCCCTACTCGCCGCCACAGTGTGTAGAAACTCACATGTACCCATTTAATTTGCCCGATACTTATACAAGCAAATAGTGTAGGGGTGGCCAATGCTTAGCTTTTATAACAAGATAAACGTAATATGCAACACCTATAAAATTTAAAGTGCTCACAGATGAAGAAATAAAAATAGACCGAAAAAAATGTTAGACGAAAGACATCGGACAATAGGATCCGGGGGTATCAGAATAACTCCACCTCCCGCGGATTCGATGTGGATTCTTGGGGGGGGGGTTCATAACACTCTGCGGGAATACTTTGTGTGGGGCAGAATGTTACGTATCCTCAACAAGAGCCTCGAGAGCCGTGCTTACTGAATTCCACAATCTATGTATATGTAGCTATAATTCTACCTTATCGTCATCATTATCATTCTTTTGTTTCTGTAGACCTTACGGTAGCCAGTAAATTCTTTACCTCCAGCGGGAAAGGAACAAACGGACGACTAGCGTTACGCGACACAGGCGGTTGGATGCTGGATGAGGCTTGACTCGTTTAGCCCAATTTGTGTGTATCTGATTAGTTTTGCCGCCTCGTCTGTATGTTATAGAGTATAGCATGGCTACCGTTTCCTTCTAATATTTGAATCTTCTCTCCTTGATCACGGCCTTATAGCCGATATACCGATTCCATATCCAACGGCAAAGCAGCACGGGGAGAGCAAGTGTAATATAGACATACAAGTAGCAATCCTGTACGAGATCACCACGGGGGTATCGAGCTGAGGAACCAATACGAGACTGTTGGTAGAAGGGAGCGGCAAAACACAATAAGGCTGTTTGAAGACCAATAGTGAAGAGGAGGGATCGTTTTTATTCAACAGTAGCATCTCTAATAAGGCATGTCCTAAATAGAAAACTGGCTATAAGCCTCGATATACAGTGGTGTCCAAGTTGCACCTGGCATCCTTGTTTTAGCTCTGATTTGTTTGCTTAAAAATATTTCACGCGGCCGGAAAAAGAAAGACGAACTCTTGGTAGGAAGGACTGATTTAACAAAATAAATGCCTCGCACGGGAGTCGAACCCGCAACCTTAAGGCTCTTACCCGATCAGAGGGACTATAAGAGTCTCACGCCCTACCGTTGAGCTAGCAAGGCTTGCTTAACGAGATCCACACGGTAATACATGCTGAACTATAACACCACGTCTGTTACACACATTCCAGACTTCTTTGCCATACTACAGCGTTATTTTGTTGTACTAGTATTTAGAGTAACAAAAGGATAAATTTATAAGGCTAAGCCAATATACCTTGGGTGCAAACTTTGAACTTCTATGTGGTATGGATTATGCATATTTGGTCCTTAATGGCTACTTCCATAATTCTTAAAAATATTCCACGCACTTGGAAAAAGATATATATATGGTTCAACAGGAATTCTTGGAAAGGAACCCGTGATTTAGCAAAAAAAAAATTATAGCCTCGCACGGGAGTCGAACCCACAACCTCAATGCTCTTACCCGGTCAGAGGGACTGTAAGAGTCTCACGCTCTACCAATCGAGCTAACAAGGCTTGATTTACAAAACGCATATCGTAATACATACTGAACCACAACACCACCGTTTTGCGATACAGCAGGGCCATCATTCCATGAAAAGTTTCACTGGCACAGGATGGTAAAAAGAGAAATATCCTTTTATCTGAAGGAATCAGTTCGCAATTTCTTCAGTCAGTGTTATGTGCTTGTGTCACTTACATCATTCAATGGTCGCCACCAGATAATGGAAACGCATCTCAATGAAATTGTGGAGACAGAAAAATCCAATCATCATCTGGCCGCACCCAATCTTCCAAACGTCTTCAAAACCTTGTAGTCAAAAGATGATAATATATTATTTATTCGAGATGTTATCGCATCTTTTATACTAAATAAATATTAACTAATTACTAATATTTCCGGATACGGGATATTGAGTTGCCGGCCCCACAACATAGCATTAGTGAGCCGCTGACTCGTTACACTGGAATGTGATAGAGTCGTCGGGAACATTTACTAATATATTATATTATATTACCAATACTCCCCCTCAATGAGATATCCCTATTAATAAAATCCCAATTTCTTCTTTAAATAGTTATGCTGGTTTAAGTCCAGCCCTTTCGTCATAATATCCGCCAGGTTTTCTTTTGACTGAACGTATGTAAGTGATGCCTCGTTAGAGACCACTTTCTCGCGAATGAAATGATAAGCAACTTTGATATGCTTTGTATGCGCGTGAAATGTTGCATCATGGGCAAGTGAAATCGCGCCTAGATTATCTGATTTCATAGTTGTTGGGTCATTGCTGATATCGAACCCTAAATTGGTAAGTAATTTCTGCAACCAAGTCAATTCTTTGGCTCCTTCGGTTAAGGCAATATATTTGGCCTCGGTTGTGGATAATGCCACAGTTCACTGCTTCTTTGAGCTCCAAGCGACACATCCTCCGTTAATTAATACAATGTAACCGCCAATTGATAGCGCATCGTCCCGATTTGCATAATCTGAATCGACATAGATCTCTATTTCGATTTCTTTGCTTGATTTGTAAGTAATGCCATCATCTTTGGTCCCCTTAAGGTACCTTAAGATGTGTTTAATGGCCGTCCAATGTTCATTTGAATAGAAGTTTGTAAATTGGCTTAAATGTTGAACGGCAAATGATATATCGGGCCGAGTTCCCAGTGCCGCGTACATGAGTGATCCGACTGCCTTTGCATAAGGTTCATTGATAACCAGTTCGCTTTTGGAATCAGGTACCGGCACGGTTAACTTTGTCAATTTATTAAGGGGTGTGGATACTGGATTTGCGTTCTGCATTTGGAAATGGGATAAGATGACGTCGATATATGTGCCTTGCGATATTTTGAGTGTTCCAATTTCGCGATCCCTTTGTATTTGTATTCCCAGTATTTTTTTCATGTCCCCTAAGTCAGTCATAGTAAAATTGTTATTTAGTTCTTGTTTAATTTTTGCCATGCCGTCTTGTGTATTGGCAAACAGTCCTAGATCATCCACATAGGCTGCAATGATTTCAATATTTGGTCCATTGATTCTAATGAATATACATTCATCAGCGGCACTTTGGGTATATCCCAAATCGAGTAATGTCTTCTTTAAGCAATGATGCCAAGCACGGCCTGCCTGTTTGAGTCCATAAAGCGCCCTATATAATTTGAGTACTCTGTCGGTTCTATCATTGAACCTGTCTGGCTGTTTCATATAGATTTCCTCTTCCAGAATAGAGTTCAAATATGCGCCTTTGACGTCCATTAATCCTATTTCCCAATTTAGTGCTGTCCCCAAAGCAATTAGTGCTCTGAGTGACGCAAATTTGAGTACTGGTGAAGTTATGTCATAATAGTCCATTCCAGGATGCTGTGTGAACCCTTGTGCGACTAAGCGACCTTTTGCCTTTTCAAATTTCCCTTCTGGGCTTGTTTTGGTAGCATATACCCAATGGCATCCTATTGCCGTCCTGCCGGGTGGTAAATCGATTAATTTCCAGGTACCAATTTGTCGGTGCTGTTCTATTTCTGTTTCCATAGCGGCAATCCATATTGGTGAGTCATTTCGGGAAATTGCCTCTTTGTAATCCTCGGGAGGAGTTACAATTTCTCGCGTCACCATTACTTTATCTGTAAACCTTGATTTGGGCCAGGCATTTGGGTTATTAAGTGTCCGGTAGTCTGGTAAGGTACTATTATTAATCCTTGAACTGTGCCGTGCTTCTTGTGGCTGAATGTCCGGTTGTGATGTAACTTCTTCAATGTAGGCCTCTGTGGGTGCAATTGACGTTTTCGGTGTGATGACCATACTGCTGGGTCACTCGGCATTGAAACTCTCCCCCTCGAGCGGGACAGTAGTTATTTCTTCGCCTTCATTTTCTCCAGGTATTGGGTATAGTTTATTATCTGTAATATCAAATGTAATATTCCTAGAAGTTTGAACACACTTAGTTTTTGTGTTATAGTACTTCCAGGCTTTAGCGTTCTCAGATATTCCTGTGAATATATGCTCTTCCGCTTTGGGATCCAATTTTGATCGCCGTTCGTCAGGTACCATTACCCAACATTTGGTCCCGAATTCTTCTAATCGTGACACATCTGGTTTCTTACCGAAAAATGCTTCATGGGGTGTTGTGTCGGCTCCAAGAGCTCGGGTAGGTGATCGGTTCTTGATATAGCATGCGTATGAAATGGCTTCTGGCCATAAGGTTTTCGGTAAATCCTTCGCATATATCATCGCCCTCGCATGTTTGACTATTGTGCGATTTAGCCGCTCGGCTATCCCATTTTGGGCAGGGGAATAAGGCGCCGTGTTTTCTGTGATTATTCCCTCCTCTGCGCAGAAGTCTTTGAATAGTTTATTTGTATATTCACCACCATTGTCTGTCCTGATACGCTTTAATTTTTTATTTATTTGATTTTCAACAAATGCCTTGTACGTTTTGAAGTGTTTCAGGGCCTGGTCCTTTGATGTATCCGTAAATAAAACACTGTGCCTTGTTTTAATATCCATGAACGAGTAAAAATACTTCTTGTGATTTGGTCCTTCGGTTGCAGCTGGTCCCCATACATCGGATACGGTTAACTCACCTATCTCGCTTACAGAATCTTCTGCCCGTTTTGGGAACGGCTCCACATGTGCCTTTCCTTGTATGCAAGCCTTGCATTGGGTGAATTCTTGTGTCTCATCCACCTGTAGCCCTGTAACTAGTTTGTTTTTCTTTAATAATTTGACCGCTCCAATATGAATATGACCAAGGTGTGAAGAGTGGCGGAAGTTCTGACCGTTCTATATACGAAGAAATGAGTAGAAAGGAAGGATATTGACCTATTCAGTGCAATATAAGAGAAAGTGAGAGAAGGAGCACAAGATGACGAAGGAGTCAACGAGTGCAATGGTTCGAGTGGAGGCCTCGACTGTTACAGTTTGAGGCCAGAAGTGTTAGATAGTTCAGATATTGCTACCTATGTAGTAGCTGACACGTTACCCTGATCACCGCTCGTAGTAGACCTAGTTTATGTCTTACGAGTGGTGGTTCTTGGGTTAAAATGTGTCTGAGTTCTAATTGGTGCTGAGTGCACCCACAAGTATACACAATGCTTCGAACTAATGAAATATGCAATATTCGAAGAATATGAAAGATAGAAAAATATGAATAGAATATGTAAAATATAAATGAAATAAAAGGAGTGTTTTACCACAATGATACTGTGGTAAAAGTATACTCCTCACACAAGGATTCTGTGCCATTTGTCCCAAGTGCGCGTTTTAGCAATCGTGGCAAACTCACTTGGTTTAGCGCTCATATTGATTTGTGCCTTCATTTGGTACATGCGCCCGACCTTTTGGTGCGCCATCGACGGGGGAGATGTTGCTGTACTCATTGGCGGGGAAGTCGTGCGGTGAGATGGAGGTGTCGTAGGGCGAGGCATCGGTGCGGCGCTTCTTGCAGTTGTTGTTGGGGCGGGGGTGGTAGATGTGGTAGTGCTCTGCGTGAGGTTTCCAGTGGGCAGGTGGGATATGTGGGATAACAATGGGGGGGCGGACTACCAGGTTGGGTTTGAGCGCGCCAAGGGAGAGAGGGCAGGGGACCTGCGGCTGGGGCTGGAGAAAGTGAGTGTCACGGTCACCATTGTGGACGACAGGCGACATAAACTCCCCCCACAGAGGCTGAGGATTCTCCCCCACACGCTCCATGACTCTGACTCGGATGCCGACTTTGACAACAATTCATTAACGGGCAAGGACAAGGACAAGTTGTCCCCGGCGGAACCGGAACCCACACTCGCCTCACCTCTCGCTGCACGGTATGATTTCCCCACTAGCTTGAAGGGAAAGACAACATGGACACCTTGAGCCCAAGTTCGGGACCTGCCACTGCACCCACCCCTGCACCCAAAAAGTCACAAAGAGTCTACATGAGTCACAAAGAGTCTATAACAGTTGCAAAGAGTCTATAACAGTTGTAACAAGTCTATAAGAGTCACAAAAAGTCCAAAAGAGTCGCAAAAAGTCAAAAGAGTTGCAAAAAGTCCAAAAGAGTTGCAAAAAGTCCAAAAGAGTTGCAAAAAGTCCAAAAGAGTTGCAAAAAGTCCAAAAGAGTTGCAAAAAGTCCAAAAGAGTTGCAAAAAGTCCAAAAGAGTTGCAAAAAGTCCAAAAGAGTTGCAAAAAGTCCAAAAGAGTTGCAAAAAGTCCAAAAGAGTTGCAAAAAGTCCAAAAGAGTTGCAAAAAGTCCAAAAGAGTTGCAAAAAGTCCAAAAGAGTTGCAAAAAGTCCAAAAGAGTTGCAAAAAGTCCAAAAGAGTTGCAAAAAGTCCAAAAGAGTTGCAAAAAGTCCAAAAGAGTTGCAAAAAGTCCAAAAGAGTTGCAAAAAGTCCAAAAGAGTTGCAAAAAGTCCAAAAGAGTTGCAAAAAGTCCAAAAGAGTTGCAAAAAGTCCAAAAGAGTTGCAAAAAGTCCAAAAGAGTTGCAAAAAGTCCAAAAGAGTTGCAAAAAGTCCAAAAGAGTTGCAAAAAGTCCAAAAGAGT